TGTTTTGACTGTTTACAGCTTGTGGCCGTAGCTATCCTTACAAATTGTCTTGCATGTCAGCCTCAACCCGGTTCACTGACATTGTAATGAAAGTAATTCCGAAATTTTGTTTGAGCGTTGTTTTTCCCTGTGACCTATGCAGGGTTTTTCTCTCGATTCTGTGTTGGTTTACACCCTACAGTTCTGTGGCTGTGCTATAAGGGAATCTGCAGAGGCTAGGGGCCTTCGTCCCAATGAAAGCGTTCATTATGAGTGTCTTAAACCCCAAACCATAGGTCTGCACCATGCTATTTTAATAATTCTAGACTTATTTTCCCATGAACCTATATTCAGGGTGTTTCCTGGTCTCTCCTGCTTTTTCAGCCGAGCTCTATAAACCACAGCGTAAGAGCGTCTGCTCATATTTGAGAGCCCTACCAGTCTGTACAGTCTGCAGAGTTCTGAGTGTCAGGCAAGGAAATAAGATTCGTTCAGACAGAATTCTTAGATTGGATAGCTGGAGTCCCTGTCTATCTCTAACTTCCTGACTGTGTTATTGTCATGAATATGACACACAGTGGGACCCAACTAGAAAAAATTAAAGTGACTAAAACTTAATGCGATTTATTTTCTGTTTTTTTTTTTTTATATATACAGTGATGCCTGCTTAAATAATTGAACATAAACTGGTATAGTTGAATTAACATTAAATTAATTTTTGGTAGCATCAATTTAAGTCACCAAATTCGCATTACAGAAAAACTATGTTCAGACTGCAGTCAAATCTGATTTGTTTCTCAGTTCAGATATTTTGAGTCGACTGTTCACACTGTTGTTTGCAAGTGATCTGTTTGGATTTGAATGTCCAGACATCACCAGTTTATCTGCATGGGTTGCCATGGTAACGACGTAGGCGGTGGTAACTATGTAGCTACGTTGGTAATGCACCAATTTCAAATGTGGATGCAGGAGAGATGGAGGTGCAGCAGCTCACCCTCCAAACTCTTAAAAATTCTCTTGCATATGCATGAATCTTTTGTGGTCTCCTTAAATCTCAGCACTTCAGTTACTCTGGATTTGACATCGTCGTTGTTTGTCGTGTTGCGAGTGACGCAAAAGACACTTTGAAATCTGATTTAAGCGGCCAGAGCGTCCAGACTAAGACGCATCTGTAAAAATCTGATTGGAACCGCTTTCCGAACCACCTCCAAATGTGAAACGATTAGCAAAAATTGTGTTGTTTTTGCTGTCTAGACTATCAAAAATCAATCTGGATATAATCTGGATATGCCGAAAATCAGATTTGGGCTGGCAGTCTGAACAAGACCTGAGATCTGTTGGAATAATGTTTTTTTGTAGCTTTTCTTTTCACTGTCTGTATACTGTTGTTGGACAGTGTATAGTAAGATAATTCTTAAAACAAATATACTTTGAGAAATATAGTATTTTGCAGTTTTATCTCACTGCTGCAACCCCTTGACAGCTATTGAGGTTTTTCTTTTTTCTTGTGCCACATAGCCTTTTGTTTACATCCTTACAATTTACAAGTATATCATTAAATTAAAGAGATAAATTCTAAAGGGTTAATTTGTTTGAGGCAGTTTCATGAGAATGACCTGGCTGGTAAATGGCAAAAGCTGTTAGTGGTTCAACCCACTTACTTTAAGAACAGTGGAAAAGAATAATCAGCCTGTACTGGACAATAAACTGGACAGCAAGGCAGGGCACATCCATCCAGCTATTTTAGGCCCAAGTGGCAGCTTGGTAGACGTGTTGGTATTTCCTCTGATTGTCTGGAAGACTACCTCAGTGTCGAGAGCTATTGTAGACAATGTACTTTTAAGAATTGAATGTTGCAAGGACACTCACACTGCATGGACTTTTACAATGAATGGGCAGTCATATGTCATTATAAATTCAATTAGTGGTTGTAGCAGTGATTTACTTTCGGTTTGAATTCTATACTAAGATGTTTAGGTCTGCATTTCAGATTTTTGACATATGATGTCAATAAATGACAAAAATAAGACACAACAAAATCTCATCAAATGCTAAATAAAATATATTCACCTCTGCGTACTACTACACAACAAATGTGGTGTTGAATTCACACTTTCATCAGAATATATCCACTTGTTTTAAACAATACAATGAGGAATGCTTCATCTAAAATAACACCACAGCCATAACAATTTATGTAAAAAGACCAGATGTTTAAATTATTACAAGTGGTCAGCGTAGGGTTGTCCTTTAGCAGCTGTAGCCAGTCAGCAGCCTGTCCATGTTGTCCACCCTCACACACACATATACAAACACATACACACACACTAACAGCAGGCCATGTAGGAGGAGAACAGAGTGAAGGACACAGCACCTCCACACTTTTATTCCCCGTGGGTTCACCCAACACCACATGTGTAGTATAAATGTGTGGGGGGTGAACAGAGTGAAGACACTGAAAATGGGTTATTTTATGTTCTTCGCAGAAATTGAGCAAAAACCAAGAAATCTGAGGTTAAAATAATAATAAATCACAACATTTTTTCCTTTGGTAAACATTAAAAATGGGTCCCACAGACCGGAACACCACACAAGGGTTAAATTTAAACTGTGCACCTGTTGACAAGTGCATTTCTAATATTTCATCAGGAAATAAGTATGTCTAAACCTTAACCTTACCTTAACCACAACTCTTTATGTTAAGAAAATTTTCTCTATCTTTGTGCTGAAAATGTCTGCCCCTAGTGGACCTGAGCACTTCTACTGTAAATTACTACATTTTTGAAGGTGTTTAATTTCTGTAGTGGTGGACGAAGTACACAAATCATGTACTTGAGTTAAAGTTGAGATACCCAAGGTAAAATATTACTCCAGTAAAAGTAGAAGTTCCTCCCTTTAGACCTCAACTTGAGTAAAAGTATGAAAGTATTTGCCTTCAAATGTACTTAAGTATCGAAAGTAAAAGTACTACAAGATTAATTATGACTCTAATGTCCTATTATCATTTTTGTAACAAGACTCGCTTCATTAACTCATTTTAGGTGAGAATATTCCAGTGTCTCTCTTGGTAAACCAATCTTTTAATAGAGTGTCATTAATTAGTGACGCTGATGTCTATTAAAATAAAAAGCAGAAAACACTGAAGGCAAACAATTTCCATTAGGTAGAACCGAGTGGATCTGAAATAACCTTTTGCAAATAATTAAAGTTTCAGTTTAAGATTTATTTGCAACTTAGTTACAAGTTTAAGTTTAATAAAAACTTGTTTTAAACTCGGGTTCACAAATTCTTTTACTATATTGCATCTGTAGGTCTCTGTTCATAAACATAAACTAGCAAAAACAAATTTACTATAAAAAGAAAATGTGTTTGTATTACTTCAGAAAAAAAAGAAACATGCCAGTCACAACTGCATATGTGTACGTATTTCTATATTGTGGTCTATTTACACAAAGTTAGGTCAGTTCCATCATTTATGTTGGAATAGACACTCCCAAACTTTTACACTGCCGCACTGACATTGAACCATATGCTTGCACTGGGTAGGTATGTCAGCAGGTCAAAACAAGCTCAAAACAAAGTGCGCTATTTAGTCTATTTAAGTTTGAAAGTTTAAACTTGTCCCACCACCTGTGAACTGACAGACCCCTCAAATGACTGTGAATCATCTTTAAGGTTAAACCACCTAGTACTGCTAGACATTTGGTTAACGCATTACTGCGTATTGCCATTAACACAGCATCATTAGGCAGCTCAAAACATTTAGAGGAGAATGCTAAATGGCAGCTCTGTTACATCAGCTAACAGAAGCCCACGCTAAATAGTAGTGGGAGAGGAAGGACCGTCCTACCCACCCGTGTAATTATGCTCTCCTGGATTCCCAAGCAGGCTGTAGCATCACCAGGGAGTGAACTTACAATATCCTAGAGCCAACATCTACACAACTGCACCACTCAGGAGCCCCATTATTGTGATTTCATTGTAATCTTGCCTCGTGTGGTGTTCAGGTCCGTGGGACCCATTTTCAGTGTTTACCAAAAGAAAAAATGATGTGATTTATTATTATTTCAACCTCAGATTCCTTGGCCTTTGCTCATTTTCTGTGGAGAACATATAAAATAACCCATTTTCAGTGTCTTCACTCTGTTCACCCCCCACACATTTATATTACACATGTGGTGTTGGGTGAACCCGCGGGGAGTAAAAGTGTAGAGGTGCTGTGTCCTTCACTCTGTTCTCCTCCTACATGGCCTGCTGTTAGTCTGTGTGTGTCTGTGTGTGAATGTGTTTGTATATGTGTGTGTGTGTTTGTATGAGGGTGGCCAACATGGACAGGCTGCTGACTGGCTACAGCTGCTAAAGGAGAACCCTACGCTGACCACTTGTGATATTTTAAACATCCGGTATTTTTTACAGAAATTATTATGGCTGTATTTATTTAACAATAATGTGGTGGGTCCACCAGACCACTGAGTAACAAACACATCAACACCACACAGGGGTTGAAATAGCTTATTTGCGTTATCCCTTGTCGTACTGCTTGCTTTGCAGTTGCTGTGTTAGGAAGCTGGTACTGGGACATTTGAGTGTTGTTTCTATTTGCTTGGCAGCCCAGTCTCAGGCCAAAGGGCTTTAATTAGATGTGGAATGTTGAGAATCTTATTGACTTTTTTACTCCACGGTTTCAGACACAGACACCCACACAACATGAAATGAGTGCAGTGTTCTCCATGTTGACTTATTGTGAAGAAGATGACTCAGATTTGCCTAGGAATGTGAGAAAAGTCCCGGCGCACCTTATGGACAAAAGAGCTTCCTAAAGGCGAGAAAAGCAAAAGCAAAGTAAGGCATGAGGAAATGTGGAAGTACAGAAGGAAACTGCCATCAACACTTAAACAAACCTCAGGATTACTGAAACAAAGGGCATGTTTTGGTCTGAATTCAACTGACAGTGTTTATCATGCTTTTCTGCACAGTGTCTGTCTTCATTGAAGTTAATGTGTAACTTTTTGCAGGTGTAGAGTGAAGACAAAAGGAGAGCCGGAAAGGAGCTCATCATGTTTAAGGCAGCACAGAAGAACGGTCAAGAGAGAGGAGGGAGAGGAAGGAAAAAGGATGCAGGTAAGGAAAGATGAGTTCATGTAAGATCCACATCCACGGACACCCAAAACTGGGCTAGGCTTGTTTTCCAAAGAAAAAATACTCTTTATTATTTAGTGCACGTTTTTTTAAACACTACCGTATAACTATAATTGGTGTGCTGAGAAGCTTTTGAGAAAAACAAGCCCCTGATAGCGTGTACAGGCATGTGTATGTGTGTTTCTGTTTAGGTTTCAGACCATACTGTGCTCTAACTCGAGTCTTTGTACGTTCTGAATAGCCTCAGGCGGGCCGGTGTAATCCCCGTAAATGTGCCCATTCACATCAGTGCAGCGTAACTGTGAAGTTGTGTAATTGGCTTATTGCTCCTGCACGTGGCTGAGAGGTTCTGGAGGCAGGACCTGATTTCCTTGGGGAAATGCTTCTGGGTTTGGGTGTCTCTAATCTGAGTGGTGGAAGGTTTGCTCAGGCCACAACTTGCCTTGTATAAAGGTTTCTTACTGTACTGAGTGAAAAATGATATCTAGACTGTGTAAACGCTTGCCTAGTGTAAATACCCACACACAGACACACATCCTCTCTATTCTAGCCTGCTGTCGGGCCGTTCATCAGTGACCTATCAGTCGTTTAGAACAGTGGTTCTCAACCTTTTTTTTAACTGTGATCCGTTTTTTTTTGCAACAATAGAAATAGGAGTGGGCAATATGGCAAAAAATAATATATCCTAAATATAATATAATAATATATACTAAAAGACTTTTTCACTACACACAATATACATCACAATATTTAGTTTTTCTGAGATTTAATAAGATGGAACAGACAAAATAGAACCTGCAATGCCACTTATAAAAATAGTACAATCATAATAGTAATAATAATAATAAACCAACAACTACACAGATTTTTTTATTATGCAATTATGCTTTGCATTAAACATGATATGCTCAGAAAAGCGTATTGTGACATGATTCAGAGTTAGTCTTAAATCTCTAAAAGCTGCACTATGTAAGATTTTTTAAGTTAAAACTGAAAGAAATAGCTGCAGTGAGTCACCCTTTAAAGCCTGAAATATTAATTTAAAAGTCAGTGGCAGAGTCAGATTTCCATTTTTATGTATTAACATCACACACACACAGGTTTGGCTCAATGTTTAGGTCTCAAATGCAAAATCAAGATATGATGACAATAGTAGATAATTCACTTATATTTGTCTTTGAATACTCTTTCAACATGCTTGCAGTTATCAGATTAATCTACTTTGGGAAGGGGTCCGAAGCACAACTAACATTGCAAAATGTTCTTCACACCTTGCCTGGAATTACATATTTGCACCAAAGAGGTCTCCAAATCCTCAAAACTTACTTAGTGTAGCTTTAGCTTACATTAAATTAATAATGCAAGCTTATGTTTTTTCCTCACCTTGAAAAGTTCTCATGTTGGAGATACAAATGCCGTGTCTAAAATGGTCCCTAATCACTATACCCAGCATTTGAAAATCTGGATCACTATCTAGAACACTATTATAAGGAACAGAATTTGTGATATAGTAAAGGATTTCGGACAGTATGTCAGTATCACCGCTGAGTTTGACTGCAGACGTGAAAAGAGCCTATTTACATCTGTAAGGTCTCAAGTGATGCCTGTGGAGACGTAACCATTGTAGCTGGGCTCAGTAATCCCACTCAGAGGAGCTGCGTCTGAATCTTCAAACCAAACAATGCAGTGCATTATGGGTATCCCCTGCGTGCTAGGGGTATATCGATTGTACACTGCTTATTGTGGTGTATTGTGAGAATGTTTTGAGCGCACTGGATTTTCTACACTGTGTTTTCGGACACCACTACAAAAGAGAGGCACTCCGAAGTTGTGCACAGTTTCAGACACAGCTCAGGTTTCATTCACAAAGTGTCACAAGGTAGGATGCAGGTACATAAACGTTTATGAAATGTAGGAATTGGGACTACCTGGATTTACAACACAGAGAAATAGAGCATTTATTTGTAGAGAGTTACAAATGCAGTACTAAAGTTAATAAAGTACAGATGTTTTTAAAAAAAAAGTACTGTAACAAAGACATGCATTTCGTTACTGTCCACAGCTGGTTATAACTCTGCTCCAGATTCAGAACCACTCCTGTAGAAGTCTGTCGTGGAAACTGTGGCAGCGTCTGGTGAGGCCCTTCATGGTGACCTCACTCGATTTCGGACGACGTCATGTTTCCATGACAGCAGCTACCCCGCTCCATTCACATTCAGCTCCACATCTGAGACAGGATCCTTCCGTCTGACTGTAGCTGCACAGCTGGCCCTGATTCTGCTCCCCACAGACTCCCTCGATGGAAGATCTCCAATTAACCTCATTCATCCTCGCTGCACTTCACTCGCTCACTCACTTTAAGTGTGTCAAGTCAAGTTTGAGAGCAAACAAATACAGCACCTAACCCACATACGAAAAAGTTTCCATTTCAGATTCTGCTTTAAGCTGGTTTTCTAAAGATGATGCGGAGCTCTAGCGGTTGTTCTCTCTCTATTTTGCTTCTAAATGATTTTGATTCTTGCGTAGTTCTTTATTTGAAGTGTAAATGTGGCTTACAAACACCAGTGAACTCCCTCTGGGTCTGATGCTGAGAGAAAAGCCTCGTTCGGTTAGAGACTACAGCACACACTGTTCCGTGTGGCCTCTGGTGAGCCATATTGCTCATGAACTATTCAACACACCTTATGTTGAACTGCTAGAGAGGATGCTGTCTGTCGTGTTGCTGAGTGCAGCACCAGGAGGCACGCTAATGTTTTACACACTCCATTGTCTCTTCAGTTCTAACTTTCAATGAATGGCTTCATCAGAGATTTACGCCCCTGAAGAAACCTGTTAAGGAAATAAGCGTTCAAACAGCGGATGGAGTGGAAGTCATATGTATAAATACTTACACAGAAAACGGCACAACAAATACGTAACGTGGTTACTGAAGGCCTAACAGAGTGTAGATGTGTTATTACTGTCCAGCATTTTCTTTGTTCTGCTTATTTGGCTTTTTTATTTGCTTCAAAGCTGCTTCAGAAATGACAAAAGCTGTGTTAAATGTAAGTCTAAGTAACAATGCAGTGGTCACCAAACTTGGTCCTGGAGATCCTAGTTCCAGCAACAATCTGCCACATGCGCTTCAGCTGATTATCTCCTTCAGAAGTCCTTGAATGGTTGGATCAGACGCATTAGTGTTAGATACAGGTTGGAAGTAATGCTGTGTTTGACTTAACTTGACAGTGTAAGGTGCTGAAAATGACGTCTTCTGTGCGTTCAAGCTAAAAGCTGGGGAAAAACATTAAGGCCTTCTTGAAAGTGAGTACTGTTAGCAGCAAGATAGCATGATAATGTTAGTGACATGAGTGATAATGTTCATTTACCCTTTAAAAGCAGCAAACTTTATGGTCAGTGTTAAAGATTTAGCCAACTACTGTCTGTCTGTTGTCTGATCTTCAGTGAAATACTACTATAATCTTGTTTAAAAGTAGTGGTACTTGACTCTATGAGTAGCCATGATGAACTCAGAGATGAGGACACCTTTCTGCCTTTCTAAGTAGGAATTCACAGTTGATGTTTGGTTTTTCCTTTTCGGAGGTCAGAATTAGTTGAATGCTTTAGTTGAATGCAGTAGAAACTCAAGGAAAGCAGATCTCCAGGAGGAAGCTCGGTGACCACAGCTCTAATGTAACAAATCCAACCAATTTGTTATGACTTTTACATGGTTTAAAGGTCCAACTGTTATAAATTGAACAATTATCATACATATCATCACTGTCATACCAGAACCTTATACCATACCAGAATACCATATCGACCTTGTAGCAACACCATAGCAACTACCTGCAATTACTGTATAAACTCAATTAAATAATGAAAAACAATCAACACTGTTCTGCAGCTACTTTAACTGTTGAAACATTATTAGTTGGCTTTTGTCCACAAACTTTCTCTTTCTAGTGTCTGTTGGTTCCTCCGTCATTAATTTCTCACACAAGAGCAGTTAGCATTTTTTTAGCATTCAAAATATGTTAAAAAAAACAGCAAAAATGATGTGACAAGAAGATACAAGGGTTCCAAATATACATAAATGACTCCCTGGAAAAGGGATAACAGGGACTGCCGGTAAATGAACGCAGCAGGGTCGTTATTCTGACACTGCTGATCTTCTGCAGTCTATTTACTGCACTCATAAAGCCCCCTGTGTTTTTCACGAGGGCATTGCTCTGCAGCCTGAAGCAACACAGAGAAGAATGAGTGGAAACTTAGCATCTCAGTGCCAGACACCGCAGAGCCTGCTCCCAGCCGCAGGGGACGGCTCGCTGATAGCTCGCACGGTTCACATTCAAACACATGAGGGGGCTTACAGGAGTATAACCATACTTAGTTTTACAGACTTTGACTCTCTCCTGCTGACTCACTCATTCACGTTCTCCCTCTCTCATAGGCTCACTCGTTCACACTCGCGTCCATTCACTCACGTATTCACTTTCTCACTCACTCACTTTGTGGCTCTCTCACTCACATGGCTTCACTCGCTCACTCCTTCTTCCTTTCTTTCTTTCTTCTCTTGTCTCTCTCACTCACTCCCTCCCTCTCCCTCTCATTTCATTTGGCGAGACTGACCTTTTTAATCCGTTCAGAAAAAGGCTTTGTCTGGGATTTTTTTCTGCTTTCATGTATTGACATTCCGGAAATAGAGTATTGGATTTTAGCATTCTTTTGGCTTTGAACCAGCAGCTCAGTAAAGGTTGCATCCAGGGATTTAGCTGTGAAATGGAAGGCCCTGTTTGATGTTTGATAGGTGCAGACTGATATACAGTGCAGCTTTAGGGTAAGGTGATGAGTCAGGCCCTGTCTGTGTGCGTGTTCCAAGTCATTTTGGACCATTTTTGTTGGTCCAGTTGTTCTGAAATATTTTGACAGCTACAATATACACTAATCAGCCATAACATTATGTCCTTGTTTCTACACTCATTGTCCATTTTATCAGCTCCACT